GCAGCAGCAGCAGCAGCAGCAGCAGCAGCAGCAGCAGCAGCAATAAGGACTGTTAAGATGAACATCAGCACTCCAATTACTTTTTGTTAAACTAACTGGTCATTCCACCAGACAGGCGCAGATGAACCGCACCAACATACTGGTCATTTATCATCAGAAAGATTCCCCAGAATTCTGCCATATGGTATGTGTGGAAATCCAACACGGAGATAGCAAATGGCAGGATTATTTGAATGATTAAAGGCCAGAGTTTTACAACCCCAAGGAGCATTGTATTCTGCTAACAAACACAAGTACACACCCTAATAATTTCCAAACCAGACCTGAAAGCACCTGTTACAAAGGGAATTTTACTTTGCTAAAGTGGAGGGTGTGTTATTCTCCAAAGATAAGTTCTGAGGAACGAACGCTTTCTTCCTCCTCATCTCAGCAGTGTTCATGCACCTGCTGTTTGCTTACAGGTTTATAGTATCTATTTTCCAACAACTGCATTGATGTGTGCATGTATAGAGAAACCAACTTGGGCAGAAGGCTGTGCAAATAAGGAAGCAGGTCCTTATTTGGGAGTTTGATGGCCCAACCAGCTAGAGTGAAAAGCAATCACAAAAGTGGAAAGATTTGCAGACAACTCTGGAATACTGACACCGCTGATGCGGTTATCAGATCCCAAATGCCAGTCTGTTGCATGTCAATGATCATACACTGTATAATGTTACATGTTGTTCATCCAGCACAGCCACTACTCAATGCTATTATGGCTGCGTGTGAACCATTGCGACATGTTCTCTCTAAAAAGCTGTCATATATATTAACTGTCAAACACATATGGCAACTATTGAGCCATCCTACCCCAGGCATCCTCCATCTTTAGCCACGGCAAGGTTGCTGCATCAGGACCAGGTCCTGGGGACAGAGAGTAGGAAATGGTACTTACATTCCGTCGCAAGCTGTTTGTCTGCCTCGAGCGCTTTTCAGCCAGCAGATCCTTCACTGTGTGCTTGACACGCACACCTTGATAAACACGTTTGCCGTAGTCTGCAGGGACTAAAGAAGACAAGATATGTGAGCGGGAAAGGAAGGAACCTCATGAAGGGGATGCTGGATAAAAAAAAGATTCTACATGATTCAAGGCTGGGTCTCTGCGCCAGGAGCTAACCCGACCTTATAGGCTGGTCATGAGAAAGAGAAGAAGTAATGCTATGTAGCTTGTTCCTTCATTCAGGGGCCAAAGATGCCATCAAGCCCAGGGTGGAAATTTTGTGCCCCAAGGGGATTGATTGATTGATTGATTGATGCAAAGGTAAGATGTATCCATTCAGAGCCCATAGAAACCTTCTAGTCCCCATCTTGAATAACTAGTGTCATAAATACAATGGAGGACCTGATGTTCACCCAGTGCTAAGCCATAATGTGATTGGTTTGGTTTTGGCTTCGTAGATGAGAAGCCAGCTAGGATGAAGCAACTATGACGTAGTCTAATGTGCAGATCCAATTTTTGTCTGATTGTAAATCAAACTCTCCAGCCTGCTTTGCTGCTTCATTCGCCCAGGGTAGAGATCATTTTGCTGAGCATGGGTGTTGGCTGAATTTAACCAAGCTGGATTTTTCCTCCTGTCTGGGGACAATGTTCATTTCTTCCCAGACCTGCAAAGTCCCCTTAGAAATAGGCATCATCCCATAGAATTATCATCATGAATGACCTCTGGGAGTAGAAGGGTGGGAATGGGATCTACCAATTCTGGGCAGATGTCCCAAGGTTTTCAAGAGTCCATTTTAAATGGGTTTGGGTTGGACTGGTATCTCCCCGCTATTTTATTCCTGTGATTTTTCTTTGGCATATTGCTAGTTTTCAGATACAATTTGTACTTTTCTTACATACACTTTTCCAAATATTATTCCAAGGTGGAAAGAAGTCATTTTTCACAGATCGAAAAACACAGGTGATAGTAAATCAGTGACACCATTTGGGGTAGCTAACCCTTCCTGCACATAACTAGGTAAATTCAGAGCACCATGCACCAGTTCTGCCATGAGGGGGATTTTATTCCTCCACCCACAGAAATGCATTCTGTATCATTGGCAGCCATCCCTTTCACCTGATGTTTCTCTGTATAGTTTGCTGCTAAGGTGGGTCCATCCCAAAGTCATTCAACTTGAGATAATGAAGCAGCTTCTCTTTTATTCCTTCTTTGGGATCAGCGCATGCACAATGTGCATTAAAAAAAAAACAGAATCCCTGAAAACACCCCCATGCCCACAGAAAGAACCTGGGAGAGCTTTCAGCCCAATGTTACAGATGTTACTTGATAATCTTTTAGGAAACAAGGCAACCGCAAAACAGAAGCATCTTCCAAGCTCAGACAAACATTCCACGTGCTTTGCGGAAACTCTTTGATCTTTTATGCCTGTTGATTTTCTTAGGTTTTTTGTGGATGAACCTTTTGTGCTTTTGTTCTGCTTGGAAAATAGGGACAGGTCAGTTCTGCAGACTGGGAGTGGCAATCTATAGAAAGCCTTTTCAAGATCAGCTACAAAGGAAGGACCAACCATCAAATCTCTAGAGCAGTGTTTCTCAACGTTAGCAACTTTAAGATGTGTGGACTTCAACTCCCAGAATTTCTTGCTAAGGTTGCTAAGGTTGAGAAACACTGCTCTAGATCTATTCTATCCCTGTTTTAGGCTATAGGTGATCTAAAAAGGCAGAAGAACCCCCCCCCCTTAAATAAAGCAATTATAGGCATTAACTGCACTCAGAAATAACAGATAACAGAACAACAAAAGCAACAGTTGATCCAGGACTAGCAAAAAGACAAGTCCATCTTTGCACCGTTCCTAATGCGATCAAAGTTTGTATTGAATCAGTAGAGTAAAATTAATGTGACATGTTCAACTTCTCCAGGAATCTGAGGGGGCCAGCGAATTCAGCTGGCTGGGGATGCTGGGGGTCATAGTCAGAGCACATCTGAAGGACAATTGGTTGTAAAAGGCAACTCTAGCAACTCACTAAGGAAGGAACTAACTCTGAACGCGGGCAACAGCATTTTAGCAGCACTTCCAAAAGACAAAAGAGAGAGAGGGGGGTGTTTGCGTGGAGAGGTATCATCAGAAGATACTGTTCCTAGGGAATAGGGGCATTTCAAATGACCAAGCCTGAGATCCCCATCTCAATTAGAAAATTCGTTTGGAAACTGCAACAGGGCTTCTCTTCAACCTGTTCGCAGTCATGTTACCCACGACACACCTGTATTTTGCTGGCCGATGACCAAAATAGAGAGACTCGATTGCACATCTCTAGAATTGGCAAGATAAAGCACAATATTATTTCATTTATTTTAATAGGCCCTGAGTTTATACCCTGTGTTCCTTAAAAAGAACACCAGACTCGTTTTCTTTCCCTTTTCTTCTTTAAAACAGCATTGGCAATATTTGGCATTAATGCATTTGCAGGTATCAAATCTTCAGCAGACCATATTTGTACATTAGCAGATCATGGCAAATGTGACTCCCTCGCTGTGGTCTTTGGACTGAAGGATCAGCTGGACCAACTGTGCCACCCCACCGCCCCCAACTTTTCAGAATGGTCTTTGAGCTAGGCATCCGATCAATACAGAGAATAAAAGAAAATCCCAAACAATCAGTTTCCCGTTTTGCCTGGAAATTAAGCCAGAGAGTAAAGCTAGTTTAAGATCCCGTCTTATGGTAAAACCGGTTATCATAATTTCTTGAACTGAATAAAACATGAAACTAGTTGGAGACCGCTGTCTTTCATTCAGTCCTGAAGCAAAGGTGTTTTTTCCCCATTTCTCCCTTGAGTCAGCTAAGATGCAATCATCCAAATACAATCATTATTTTAGGAAAGCTAGCCACAACAAATTGCCTAAAACTTTTCAGTTGGCAGGATTTGAAACCAAGACATTCCTACGTTTTAGACCCTGTGGTATTAACCTCAAATTTGATAGTAATTTTTTAAAACGTATTTATTTTCAAATTTATATATGCTGCCCATCTCACTTTACTACTAATAGTAAAGTTCCTGGTCTGGAGGTTCTATTTCTGATGCATACTTTGGAGGGAGGCAATGTAAACTTATATTTTTTTCATTCTCTTCATAAGATGGATCTTTCAGGTAATCATTGCTACAATACATTTCGTCATGTAAAACATAAACGGGAATACTTACCGGTTTCCATGATCAGCAGGGATTATTTCTCTCTCTATGAATTTGGCAGAATATTTGAGGAAATCGGCCGTCATGAACCTGGGGGGTGTTGTAGTGGAATCGGCTTCTCACTCACATTCAGCGTGAGCTAAGCGGAAATGGCTTTTTCCACAATTTTAGGAGATATCTCAGAAATGACTTGCGTGGGATTTGTATAAATGCAAATCCTTTGATGTCTGCTTAGATGCAATTTGCATAGTCAGCGAGGAACAGGGTGAAAAGGCTCTTTCACTGAGCCAAAATGCATAATTTTAGGAGCAAAAGGAAAAGAGAGGATGGATGGATGGATGGATGGATGGATGGATGGATGGATGGATGGATGGACAGATAAATAAATGTTCTTTTTAAAAAAAAATAAATTCTTGCTGTAAGAAAATGTTAAATTAAATCAAGAATGCTTAAGGATTCTGAGGAGTTCTAAAATGACTTGCTATTTTTAATCATTAGAACTGATAATGAGTGTTTGCAATTGTCAAAAAACTGCCTTTTAGGCTAAATAAATGTTCTACAAGATGGTCTGGGTATCTTACAATGTAATCCCAACTCTTCTGGATACTACCCAAAGAGAGTTTTTCCCATTTCTGCATCCTTTTTTTAGATAGAAAGCTGCTCCTTAATTTTATTTCAATTTATTTTATAATCATAACAACTCTTAGTAAACTATAAATAACAAAAGGAAAAAAAATGTTCCCCAATCATGTATTGCATTTATTAATGATACTTCTGTGAATCCCATAGCATACGTTCTCTGGAGAATTTATAATAACCCTAAAAGCTATTCTGATGCAAGCTAAGATTTTCAAACAACATTTAAACACACTCCACATAAAACACAGACTTTACAACAGAAACTATTTACTTTTTTAAAAAAAGATTGAAATTCTGTCCAGAAGAAGTTGAAGATACATGTAGGTGACCATGAAGACAAACTTAAAATGAAATTTTATCTGCACTCAAAGCTGATTATGGATCCACCTCCTATTTTTAGCATCATTTGGAATTCAAATACATCTTCAAAGATTTGAAAAAAGTTTTGTTTTGTCTGGACATTTTATACTGCCGTCAATTGTTATAAATAATACTGGTTGGATCTCACTTTGGTCATCTTTAGATTAGACTAACTGAAATCAGTGGGATTTAAACTATTTCCATGCTCTGATAGAGAAAAGCAGTTTGCAGGAGTTGGGATATTTTCTAAGATGATGCAGACTGAGTTATTCATGCAAGCCTGGATGTCATTTATTTTCTTTTCCTGACAGCACGATCAAGTATAAGTACACAAGGACACAACCTGCATTGCAAAAGACAACAATCTCATTACATCTTGCCCAATTTTCAATGCAAAGCAACGCAACATTTGATTACTACGAAATCCATGGCACAACCAGTTCCCAACAACATGCAATCTAGGTTTGAGATTCTGTGAGATTGTGGTATGTCTTTGCCATCTTTATAACCCTGCCATACTGGCATTCCTATTGGTGCAAGTCAGGGCTGAACCCAGTTCCTAGAGTCTCTCTCTCTGTACATAATTCCTAGAGCCTCTCAAAGACATGAATGCAATTCTTTTGAAAACAGTGCAAAACGGGATTGCCGTTACCATCTTCTGGGGTGGATTCCCTCCCCCCACAACTTTCCACTCTAGCTTATGCAGCCCTCATTGTCTTCTGTCCAAGTACTAACCATGCCTGACCTTACTTAACTTCTGAGGAGCCTGTTCTGATTCCAGAATTAGCTCCTTTTTCTACTATTGTATCATATGTACTGTTCTTGATTAACTGGGCTGGTATTCACATGTCAGAACACAGATACCAGATCAATTTGTTTTTTCTCTTGCTGGCTGCTTTCCATCCTGCCTCCTCAACCATCACTGATTACCTAACTCATTGGACATTGAGCTAGGATGGAAGTGAGCCCAGCAAATGCAAACGTCATGATGGGATGTTGTAGCTCTGTGATGGGATAGGGGATGTGTTTGTGGGTTTTATTTATTCTGATTTTACAAATGTGGTTGTGAGCCACCTAAAATGATCATGGATAAGGTAGGCAGCCATATAAATTTTCTAAAAAAAAAGAGTGAACAAACCCTTCATCTGGGTTTGTATCTGGATGGAGCTCCTGCATGAGGAACATTAGGAGAACATGTTGAATCAGACTTCGTACCTGGACTTATTTAGTCCAGGATCTTAGTGTTCACAAACAACAAGTCGCCATCGCACTGAGTTGGATGCCTATGAAGTTTTCTTGGCAATTATATGGAAGTGGATTGCCCTTGCCTTCTTTTTCTCCCTAGTGGCTGGCAAAACATAACAAAATCATCAGTAATTAAAAATGAGTATTCCTCTTGCTGTAGAAATCAGTCCCATGAAAAGTAAGCAATAAAGCAGATTGGAATTAAAACATCTTTGCTAAAAAAACTAGCTTATCATGATGGAACCACATGCATTTCCAGAGACAGTGAATTCCATAAATATGGGGCCACCATTAAGAAATGCTCAATCAAGACTTCCAAGTGAAGAAATGGCAAACTAGACATCTCTGAAGGAACAGAGATATGACATCGCCCAGACCGACAGACTGGTGACAAGCCCGGTCTAATGGAATTCCTCCGGATAAAGGAGAGGACAAGAGATCACCCACTTCTGCTCCAGACAGCAGCTCCTCGCAAGGAAATCGCAGGACAGTGGTTTCCCACGGGCCTGAGCACCAGGAGACAAGGGAAGCCATCAAGCTCTCAACCCACAGCAGAGCCTTTTAAGGACCCTAGGTTTCTTAAGCCTCACTTTCTAAACACCTTTGAAATGTAACTACTTTAAGGTTGAAAGGGATCTTCAAAGCAACATTTGAAAAACCACCTGGTGAGTTAACCTGTGTTCCAATGCAAAAGATAAATCAACTAACAGCCTAAAGAATTTTTTTAAAAATTGAAGTAAACAGCAAAAAAGCTTAATAAGAACTTAATCTAAGAAAGTTACAAATGAACTATGGGACTAGGCAACTTTGGAATATTAGGACTTTTGCTAAAGGATTTGGGAAATAGTTAAATAAACAAAACAGTACTTTCGTGGGAATATAATTTTTTTAGTCTATTAGAAAATAAACAAGCAATAGAAATTTGAGATTTTGCAATTTTAGAAACACTAGAGGGTACATCAGGCAAGATAAAGAAGGAAGGGAAAAAAAAGAGACAAGCCTGTTTTTTGTGGAACCTACAAAATGAACAGACAATGCTATGACATTTGAGACATTTCAGGAGATTTTTGAAGAATGGGGTCAGAAGCTAGTAACTATGTATTATTTGCAAAAGATTTTAAAGAAGGAATGAAAGATGTGAAAGAGAATATTTTGGAAGACTGACAGGATGAAGGGGATAAACAAATATTGCCTGACACAGAAATACTGGAAAATAAAGAAATTCTGGACTATAAAACAGAGATGACAGTCAAAATACAAGCCAAGAGAATGACCTGGATAAATGGCTTTTTACTAGATTTACAAATGAGGGTTGTTAAAAACCTTCGAGATGGGAGAGAGAAAAATTGAAGGGAGATCAAATCCTTCGACAGCATCTGAATGAATTAAGGAATAAGATTGTTAGAAGCAAAAGGAAGGAATGCAAAGTCTATTTGTTTGCTCAGGGTTAAAATAAGACATATCTTTATAAAATTCTGGGAACCCTTTACAGACATTTGGACAGAAACATTAAGGATTCATTAATTTGTGCATGGATAAGGGATGGATTATGCGAAGAAGTGACCCATGTATGTAACCTTTTAGGAGGTAGAGAAGTATTAAGTTTGTACTTGTGATGAAGATTTAAGTCACTTCTTCGAATATTGCTTTTTTATTTTCCTTTTCCCCCGCTCTTTTCCTTTTTTCTTTGCACTTTTTACTTCCTTTTTTCTATTCTTTCCTCTCTTTCTGACTTCAGTTTGTATGATCTTTTATTATTGTTAAAATCCTTAATAAAAATTAAATATATATTTAAAAAAACACACAACTACACTGTTCGTCCATCTCATTTGCTTGCATAGCAGACTGCAGACCAGGCCACTTGATGCTCATCTGCTACAGGAGAAGCCTGCACGGGCGCCAAAGGCCTTCGCAAAGCCCTGCCATTGATATGGAGAAACAGAGGAAAAGTCAAGGGAAGGAAAGGGGCGACAAAGGTTGTGACTCTCTCCCCTTTGCCCCAAATCTGCTTTTTAAAAACCATTGTCCTGATCCAGAGCTGCTTAAGCACTCTCCAAGCTTGCCCAGAGGAATTTTTGGAGGGGTGATCTTTTAATTTGCCTAATAAAAATACTGCCTTGAGATGCAATTTCTGCATTGGTGTGGCTTGATTTTTTTTTTTCCTGCTTTATACGACCAATACAGTTGCAAGGGAGGAAGTGGGAAGACCCGTGTAGCTTGCACCCAGGTCTATAGAAATTCTAGGCGACAAAACACTTTTCACCACTCTCAATCTTTGCTTTTTGTGCCTCCAGATTAAGTGGATGGTTTCCAACGGGACAGGTGTGGATGAACAAGGAGCCCCGCTCGACCCGGAACCTTCCCTCAACACCTCTCCGATCCCTGCCGGACCTAACACCGCGATGCTCTCTTTATGTTTTGACAGACCGGCTGGGTCCCGCCCTCTCCTGGCCACACCATTGGCTGCGCGGAAGCCTCTGGCGCCTTCATTGGCTGTCGAAATTCATCCGGGCGGTTCGCGGGCGCGCAGGTGGCGGGGGAAGGGACCGTCGCGCTGGACGTCGGCCGGGAAACGCACGGTAACTATGGAAACGCGGCCTAGTGGGTGCCCCCGGGCCTTGGCTCCCCGAACCGGAGGGCGTTTTCGTTCCTCCAGACCCCGGTCTTTCGACTAGGGAGCTCTCGAGCGGGGACCCTTCTTCGGCCCCACCTGGTGGGTGTCTGGACGCAGCATGAAAGGGCAGGCACCGGGGAGGGAGCGACTCAGACGGCGGCCGAGGGGCCTCTCCCGCCTGGGGCTCTCCAGCCGGGCGGGCTTTCAGCTACGCTGAGCCCCAGCTTTGGCCAAGCTGGTGGGCATTAGGGGAACCCTAGTCGACCCACCTCTGGAGGACACCAGGTTGGGGAAGGCGGTTTGTTATTCTCGGGGGGGTGGGGGGAAAGGGCAACAGGAATAGGTAGAAACGCGAAGGGATTATGATATATTTTATATAATATTTACGTCTTTGTGTGTGTATAGTGTATCTTAAAATATAGTCATAGATACGTATGATAATATAAGTTATATATGACATATGATATATATATTTGATTTGGTATGGGTGCCCACTCCAGAAGACTGTGGGCAGCTTACAAAAACCACAAAAATGGTAAAACAGTTAAAACAATTTTATATATATTGTGTATATATACACACACATATAGGTATATAGTATAGTGTGTGTGTGTATCTATATTTATATCTATATATGTAAAATATAGTATATTGTATATGCTGGAGAGAGAGAGAGAGAGGGAGAAAGATTGATATATAACCATATATAATATATATGTAGTACAGCATAATGTATATATTAGGTATTTATGTATATACTTTTTTCCTTGCCTGCCTGCCCTACCCTTTGGGCTTAGGGAAGGTCATTGCAGCTTTGCTGGAAATTAATTGCAGCCGGCTTGCTCCAAAGCACTTCCTCGGTGGCTCCTGCCCCCTCCCTCAAAGCAAATCCTTGGAATTGCACTGGGGTGGCGAGGATGCTTTTCTAAAAAGGCAGTACAATCCACGGGATAACAGAAGCTGGGGCGGTGTGTTTGGGAGAATTCTGGCTCTTCCTTTCACGCCCTTTTTAAGGCTTCGGGGGACACAGCAGAAGACCTGCTCCCAGATGTGAAAAAGATCCCTTCTCGGATTGCCATCCAGGTTGTGGCCATGCCTCCTGGCAAGACAGGGGAGAAAGAGGCTTTGGTCCTGCAGTGCGAATGGGAAATCTGCAGCTTTGTGGCTTCGAAGATGGAAGAGTTCTGTGAACACGTGTCGAAGCACCTGCAGCAGCATCTCCAGGGCAAGGAGGAGGGCAGCGAGATGGATTCTCTTGGTAAGGGGCACACAGTGCAGGTTTGGTTCTCTTCCAGGGGGTTTGCAAGGAGGGGGTCAAAAAAGTCAAGCTGTGACGCATATAATAACCGGGTGGGGCTTGACTTTTTTGACCCCTTGGACATCCCTGTGACACTTGTTTGCTTTTAGTGTGAGCGACAGCATTCCTCTCTGAAAACCAAACATTGGTACAATACTTCTCTGTATCCCCTTCCCCCTCCTTGTTAAAATAATTAATTGATTTTATTAGAAAACCCATGCTCATCTAAATTACGTTTCTGATTCAATGCTAGGCAGCCAGCATATTTTTCTTTCTTATTGAGGATAATCCTGCAAGCAAATGTGGACATCATCCCACTGGAATTGCAAGGAGGACGTTGCAGGCTCTTCAGTAGTGTAGCTTGCTTATGCCAGTGTGAAACTGAAGCAGGCTGAGGGTGAGAAGTGCTGCAGGCGAGGGCATGGGGAGAAGGCAGGATTAAGCTAAAATGGGTTTGAAGAGATAGTGAGAGCATGAATCAGCTGAAGAAAGGGGGTGCGGTTGAGACAAGTTTGAGAGTTACTTTCCCTGGCTTCTTTTTTAATTAATAGCCCTGCTATCAAATCAGAATGGCCTCTGTTTTACAAACCTCATCCAGAAATGTAGGTGGTTAAGACCTGTTGCTAAATGGAAATTTGTGATGTAAGTCTGTGATCCCTTGAGGTTTCTTGCAGGTATGAGTTTGTGCTTGCTCCATGAACTTTCTGTTTTTCCCCCCACCAGAAGAATATGCTTGCCTCTGGCAGGAATGTGGCTTCTGTTCTCCTGAGAGTCCTGCAGAGCTAGTCCGCCATGTTTACTTCCACTGTTACCACACCAAGCTGAAGCAGTGGGGACTGCATGCTTTACAGAGCCAGTCTGACTTGACTCCCTGCCAGCTGGACTTTCAGAGCCGAAACATCATCCCTGAAATCCAAGAGAACTTTCTCTGCCTTTGGGAATATTGTGAGGTGAGAAATGTGATGGGAAGACAGGTGGTCCTTCCCAGTGAAGTATTGTGTTGAGTGTGTCCACTGCACTTTGGGCTTCACTTGAATGGATGAAGTAAGACAACCAGCTTCTAAGATTCAGACAGATTCTCAGTGCACTGTGACAGCTGTGGGGTGGATGTAAGTATATTTTTTTTCAGAGCAAAACAAATTGTATAACTTGTTTTAATTTGCAGAACAATCTGCACACTTTTCACTATTGAAGAGATTGTGCAAACTTGTCCATTCCTCCCTCCTATTATCCTAAAATAAATGTAGGAATATTTTCTCAATACCCCACGTGGTGTAAATTTGAATTTATAAGAACATAGTTCTGAAATATGCATAATAAAAGTAGCGTGCCTGTGAAGAATGTTTGGAATGTTTTTTGCTACTTAATAAACATAACTACAGTCAGGTCCAGAAATATTGGGACATCGACACAATTCTAACATCTTTGGCAATATACACCACCACAATGGATTTGGAATGAAACAAACACAATGTGCCTTAACTGCAGACTGTCAGCTTTAATTTGAGGGTATGTACATCCAACTCAGGTGAATGGTATAG